CTCTCTCTCTCTCTCACTCTCTCTCTCTCTCTCTAACTCTCTCTCTAACTCTCTCTCTATAACTCTCTCTCTATAACTCTCTCTCTCTAACTCTCTCTCTATAACTCTCTCTCTCTCTCTCTCTCTAACTCTCTCTATAACTCTCTCTCTAACTCTCTCTCTATAACTCTCTCTCTCTAACTCTCTCTCTCTCTAACTCTCTCTATAACTCTCTCTCTCTCTCACTCTCTCTCTCTCTCTCTCACTCTCTCTCTCTAACTGCGGGCGCCTGATGAGCCAACATCCCCCACTTTCATCACTTACGGCGCCCATCGTACAGGGCAAATGGAAAATGTAACCGGGGTGTAAAAGGGTGTTATCTTATCTTAATTATGAATGTTGTTACATCAAGGCTTTTTTTTGTATTATAGTTGTATTATATTTGTATTTACTCTTGTGGAAGTGCAGATCCCCTTTCCTCCACCAGGGGGTGCTGCAGCACCCTCAGCACCCCTACTTCCCACGGCCCTGGGTGTAACGGTTCACAAACATTTCGGTTCGGTACGTACCTCGGTTTTTAGGTTTGTTTGTAATAGCTTTGGCTCGGTCTAAACTTTTTGCGAGTGGTGGAGGCTTAAATGCTAGTGGGAGTTGGGTTTGCACTTCAGTCTTTTTTCTTTTGGTACCGGTGATATTCACATTCGGGTGATGCTTTTTCAAATGTGTGTGCAAGTTCGGTCCACCTGTCTTTGTCCGTCATCCTTGTACGTAACTGCGAAACCAAAATGTTCCCAAACCGGAGACTTCAATGATGCTGGAGGATTTTCGAGCTCAACTTTATCTGCGTTCGCCATTTCGACAGTTCCTCAAATTACTGACTACATTTGAACGCATCCCTGCTACCAGCTCTCATAGTATGCCTCTCGTCCAATGAAATGACTTGCTCGCTCTATGACGCGTTTAACCCAATGTGAGCAAATTACTCTGAATGCTGCGACGATGGCTGCGACGCAGCACCTGAGATTACCTCCAAAAAGTTGTTGACGTTCTCAATTTTTTACGTTTAACGTTATTATATATACACAAGTGTACCGAACCGAAGGGCCCGTACCGAATAACGGGTACCGTTACACCCCTAGTTGACAGACAAACTATTAGTAACCTGCCTTTCAAGTATGTAACGGTAACATATCAACCAGGCATTGTTGAATCTCTAGAAAGGTATTATATTTCACCATTATAGATTGTTGTGGTTTCTTCACAATTCATTAGCACCTACAGTATACACCTACACTATAAACATCTCACATCTATGATGAAGTATTTAGTCAGTTAGTTAGTTAGTTAGTTAGTTAGTTAGTTAGTTAGTTAGTTAGTTAGTTAGTTAGTGAGTTCCCCTATGACACTTATCATTATTTTTTTGTCTGATTGTTTGTGTTCTGTTGTAACTCCTGTCATGTCAGACTCCCATTTTGCTGGCCTTGTGTCAGTAGATCCTGTACTGTATACTGTTCCACTTCCATTTGTTTGCTGCAAGATTGTCTTTTGCCATGTGCCTGCTTTCTAGCATTTTTGTATCTTAGCCTGCCAGTACCTGTGTTCGACCCGTGTTATGACCTTTTCCCCCGGACTCTGATTTTGTCTAGCCATACCTTGCCTTTTAATTAATTCAAGACTTCAGCTTTTGTTTGAATCATGCTTTTGGGTTTTTATCCTTGAGTTGTGCCAAACTTGTATTTATTGCTGAGCGTTAATAACATGATCTGAACCTTGCCTACCCTCTGTTAGTCTATCAGTCAATCTCTTGTCAGTATCCGTATCCTGATTGTTAATGTCTTACATACTCACATAAATAAGGGAGAGTGGACCAGTGAAGCGAGCTGGCTTGACTCCAAAAAGGTACTTGAGCTGGGACACACAGACATGGCATGCTGACCCAGTGGTGTAGCCTCGAATCAGTGGTTCAGACAGGTAGGTGACAACGAAACCAAACCTCACCACACCTAACAGGATCTAAGTATGGATAGAAAGAGAGAAATTATCAAAATGTGTGAAATATTACATAAAAGGGTTGCTCAGTACTGTGATACAGTCATAAACAGTTTTATATTTGATCAGAATTAACACACAATCACACCTGAAAGATTCCTGTCAAGACCGTGAGGGAACATGCTATTTCTACTCTGTGTGCATCTCGCGCATCAAGGTCTGTCCCGTTAGTGCCGTTTGCAGGAAAGTTAATGTCTGGTGCCAGCCTCTCCGTCACGCTCCCAATCATGATGCTGATCACAGCAAATGTTCCTGAACATACAAAACGTCAGCATTTTTGGTAAAGTTCTTTCAGTAATTTTTGATTTCTGCCACTTTCACACATGTTTTCTTAGTCACCTATGGAGATGTGTCTGGAAGTGCCAAAGATGAAGTAGACCAGAACCGGGTAAAGGGAGGTGTAAAGGCCAAACACTGGGCGTAAGGAGGCCAGAAGGGCATATGCCATGCCTGATTCAAATAAAAAAAGCACTGTTGTTACATATTTGGCTGTCAAAACACTCATAAGACATGTTGGGTAATGGACTAACTTTATTTCTCTCTGAGAGTAAGGAAAGATCCATACCTATCATAGCTGTTTATTGTAGAAAGCCTCAACCAGGAGACGGTTAGCTTAGCAAAGAGAGTGGAAGCAGGTCAAAAAGCTACCCTGGGTTTCTCAATAGGTAAAATAATAAGCTACTAGTACCTTTAAAGTTTACTGAATAATATCTTGTTTGATTATCCATGCAAAGATTTTTGTATTAAAGGGGAAAAAATAAACACTTGCTGATATTTACTGGCTATGAGCAGTGAGTTCCTGGGATATGGGGAAACAATAATTGGTCATTTTTACATTCAATTAGATTTCTAGAGCAAAAAAAAAACTTTGGAGCGGCTGGTGGGCAGACTTTGTTACATTTGTAAAGCACCATGCTGGCATTTTGTTTGCAGTCTTAATGCTAAGCTAAACTCAAACTCTCCTGGATTGAGCTTCAAGTTTACACACATGGGTTATTTTCTCTTCTCAGTAAGAAGACAAGTGCATTTCCCAAAATGACAAACTATTTATTTAAAGTGACAAGTTTGCTAAGCTTTTGAATGTGGATAAGCCCCCTTCAGTGTTCACATTCACACATACAAACCCTGTGGCAGATGCATGATGCCCACACTGCAGCCAGAGATCAGGTCCCCAATGAAGTTTTCTCTGATGGAGTAGTGAGGCAGCCAGCTGAGCACGGGGATCCAGCTCAGCAAGGTGTGCTTCAGTCTGGGCACCGAACACCTGCAACAGTCATACATTTATTCATATTCCAATGTGACTGTTTTTACACTAGGGTTTCCGCCTAAAAAGTATATATATAATATATTGTACGCCTTGGTTTTGTTCTTCATTCAAATTTCAGTGTGAGCACATTTGAATTAGTTTCCCTGAAGAGCGATTATCTAACATATTGAAACGTTTAAAAAAAACATTGCTTGTTTAGAAAAAAAAACAGATGTGCTAACAAATTCAAATATTCTGTGTCTTGAGAATTGGAACACCTGCTACATTTTTATCTTTATCTGCTGGCCTTGTAAAAAACGGACACATTGGATAACACCAGCATAGGCAACTTGTGACATCGAACCTGAGGTTTGTCCTTGTCTGCAAAAATGTAACTACATTTTATTAATGATTATCATAATTGAATAGGATATATTTAATCTTAGAAGAACGTGCTGTTTATATGATTGCTTGATATTTTCATTAAGAGTTTTAAATGATGTGTCACAGGTTATCGTTCAACAATAAAAAAACAGCTCAATAAAACTGAACTTTGCTCATCCAATTACATAAAACGGTTGTTCAGCGTTTTCTTTTTTCACCAGCATTGTACTTTGAGATAGCAAAACAGTTACATGCACAAACTCATTCATAACAGATTCACTCATTCATGAGTGTCACTTTTAAAAGGTTGAGTGAGCAGTGAGAGGTACAGGTAAGCCTTACAGAGACATTTACAAGCATGCAAATACACATCTGCAAATGCATAAAGTTAATCCAGTTTTTGCACACCTCCATCCCCTGCATCTTCTCTTTCTTTACCTCAAGGACTCTTTCAGCCGTTCTCCCAGGGTTGGTTTGGTGGACCAAGTCCCTTTTTGTGCCACTTCATCCAGACGTAACTCATCCAGAACCCTCCTCTTCACAAAATACTCCCCAACGGAGCAGTCCTTCTTCTCAGTGTCCATTTCTCCTAGACCAAATTCACCAGACCCCTAAAGCCGGTGTCCTCCTCGACTGCCTGAGGATGTTTGTTGTTACAACACCACACAGTGTATAGCAAGAGTCAAGCCTCCTCACCTCCTATACTGATTGACAGTGCTTGGTTTTGGATTGTGGGAGGACTGTTCCTTTCCTTTCCTTGCAGGAGAAGAACCACCAGCCCACATTTACCTGCTCTGCATGCACACACACACCTCAGGACATGTGTGTGTGATAGTGAATGTCACCTTTTAGTTATTAACTTGGTGAACAACACTTCAAACTGTGAGATAGAAAAAAAGACCTCTTGTATTATCCTTGCACGAGGTCAATGACAATAAACTGCCATAGCTGATGGTGCATACAGACATAACTGTATGTAACATTCATTAATGCATGTGAAAAATCCCACTGTGACTATTCTTTTTTCATAATATGAAAAAGAATAAAGTTTGTATGGTTTTAATTGTATGAAACATCTCACCCGCAGACAGCTTGTGAGCCATTGAGCTACTGGCATTACCCAATATGCTTTATGTGATTTGTCAACCCTTTTTCTAACATAAACCCAACATTTAAAAAAACACTCAAAATTAGCTAGAAATGTTCTACATTTAACATAATAATGTAATGTTATGTAATGGGGTCAATTTCTCTTACACATACAACGCGTCAGATCACATCAAATTACTAGACTAGTACAAACTAAAACTTTATGGATGATGTACAATACGCAATATGTCTCTCTATATATACTGTACATTCTGTATCCATACAAAATATTTTACATTAATTATTTTAAATATTTATAATATTTATATTTGTTATAGAAGTGGTGTCCAATTAATCTGTGTATGCCTGTCTAAGATATCTGACCTGTTGTTGCCGCTAACAAAGCTTGTGAGCCAGTATATTAACGTTTGTACCAAGACATATCATAAAAATACTAAAAACGTTCACTCCAGAAAATATATTTTTCTGAAAGCATGTAGTCCTTTTTGTCTGAAACACAGTCACCAGGCAGTGGTCTTGGCAGGGTTTTTAAGCTGGAAAATAAAAAATATCCATTTTACTCTTTTTCAATGTTATCTTAGATGTAAAGTGAACAAATCATTTATAAAAAAAGGTTTTGCAATAAAGAAATATTGGAAATAGTTTAATTAAAACGATGTAATACGCATGCTCAAACAAGCTACTTCAACATGGTAACAGCAAGCCAGGACACGTGCAGACACATCTTACTAATAAGTAATGTTTTACATTAACATATTTAGGTAGTCATTTTCCAAACTCTACTGTTTTTTGTGTTTTCCAACAATCACATGACTAAACAAGCATTTTACGTTGAGGAACAAATGGCTCATAGGAAAATATTTCTGTTTTGTGCCTGAAATGACTCACAGTCATGGATGTGTGTTAGACGAAATAATAAAAGCTCTTGCAAATATTAACCCTGGACCCTCACACCCGTGTAAATGTGTGCTGTTAAAGCTTGAGGCTAACTTGATGACGAGGCACAGCTGAAAAGATAACTGGAATAATCCTTGAGAAAATTCCACAACCACACTCAGCTGATTCACAGATTACACATTATAAGATCCTATGTTAAAAATATGTAATTAAAGACACAGCTTGTTTTAGTCAAATCAAAGGTGTTTGATAATGATGCCAATGATAATTGTTTCAGTTAATTTGGTCATGATGTGTGCTCTTAAAATTATTTATATGTGTTTCGACACCTCTGCTTGCTTGCTAACTGAGGTTTTCCTTATGGTTATCCTGAATCCTCTTAACAGTATGTTGACGTGATAAGTGAAATGTGTCTTGTCCCAAGTGCAGCTTGCTGTTCTGTTGGTGTTAAGGTGTAAATACTTCATAAAATACCATCACACACAGTGTATTATTTTGCTGCTGAAAACAGTTCATAAGAAATTTGCTTACATCTTTGTTGTTGTTAGTTTTGGTATTTGTGGCCTCATATATTCTGCATTGTTTTGCTATTAATGTATTGATTTACGACTCAAATCAAACTAACCTAAACTTAGCACAGTGAGGTAAGAAGAGATAAAGAGAGACTAAAAGGAACAGAGAGGGGCACAGTGTAAAGCTGAGTGTTATTTGCAAATGCCTCACCATTGGTGCTCTCAGAGGACAGGAGAGTCTAAATCTCACTACAGTTTAATTATTATTTGAGAACACCTCCTGAAGCTGACAAAAACAAAAGGCAGCAGGAAAATAAAACAAAAAATTTAAGTGCTGCACAGAATAAGTAAGTCATAAATAAATGAAGTGGCTGTTGTCTTGTTTGCTGCGCAATAAACTCTATTTGAGAGGGATTGTGTTGCCCACATCATGTATTAACTCTTATCAATTGGTAAATAGCCAGATAAATCATTTAACTGCCGGGATTACTAGGTAAAGTGATTGTTAACTTGTTGGAGAGACTTGTTTATGTTTCCTCAAAGCCAGTAAGAAAAGGTAAATTCCTTCCCGACCTAGTTTCTAAATAAGGTTTTTTATGTAAGAACAATCTTTTTTCATAACAAGTTACACATTGATATGCACTTGGCCAAAGGTCCTGATGATGAGCTGAGAGCAGAGCTTGCAGCATTACAGAAAATGTCCCTGACACGTGTAAGAAAGCACGTTTCCAATGTAGAGACAAGCTCATGCACACCCTGTGTCACTCATTAATCTGCACTGCCTATACAGTAGACTGCGGGGCAACATTATTTTGCTCATATTGTTGGTAATGAAGTATGCTCAACTCTGCTTGGAAATATTGTTAGAAAACAATTAGCCTGACAAACACTGTTGTGAAACGTAACCAGTCGTATAACATGGCCAGTAAACAGATACACCTACTATCACCCGTTAGACCTTCAACAGACTGTTCTAAATGACCATCATGCTCCTTGTGTTTAGACATTTGTGTAAATGTTTAACTGCATGTGCATCTTCATCGCAAGTACAACAACCCCCGTAAAATGTGCCACCAACTGATTGCTTGCAGCGGTTAGGCCTACTTCCTATTTACCAAAGGTGCATGAAGCTGCTTAGTTCAAATCAGCAGCAAACAACAGTAATACCATACAATCTGCTTTCAAGTGTACTGTGACTTAAGGTGTTTGAAAGTAGGATGATTACCAGGATAAGTATAATTGATTCAGGTGGTGTATTGTTGATTACATGCTGCAATCTTAAGTGGTACTTGGTGGGTTTAGTAACTTCGAAGTCACAAATAGTATTGTTATTTTCTAAAAGTGAATACTTGTTCCTTTCAACACGTAAACAAACTGTGAATGTAATGCTTCTTATTCTATCACTTTCTATATTAAAGCAGACTTGTATACTGCTTGCCTTGCCACTGGTAGAAACCTGAACAGCACCCTGCTGCTCTATTTTAAACTTGTTGAGCAGTGAGCATGCTATACCCTCACTCACAGGCAGCAGCTATCACAGACTTCGAATCGGAACTGCCTGCAAGCAGAAATACAGCCATCTTTGAAAAAAGCCGGTGTCAGATCAAAACAGAAACATATGAATGTTTGCTCTGGTCACCTCTAGTCACCTCTGGTATGAAGCTGTTTTCTGCATGTGCTTTGCTAAAGCCATGCTACCATGCTAGTGCTCACACTCTGAACTGCTGTGCATGTGTGCCTGGAGTTAGGTAACATGCATGTTTAGCGCACACTGACAGTGTCACTATGGCCTCCATTTGTGTGTCAGTGGTTGGGCTGCTGCTGAAGGACAGAACCAGTTAAAGATACTAGTCAACATGGAGAAGAAATGTCTTAAATAGAAACGCATTTAGAACTTTTTTCTTATTTTCTTCTCCATTTATCTTCTCATTTAACTTATCCCTAGATATATTTTTTAATAAAACTACTGGACATTTACTCTGAAAGATTTAGAGTTTACGAAACAAACTACCCATTTTCAGTTCCTCTTTTTTTATTTGTGTTTGGCACTACTTTACCACAAGGTCCTCCTGTCTCTGCTGACAAAAGTGGGACAGACATCCAAAGCAAGAGTCCATGGGTGATCCAGGCCTGGCCTCTGCTCAGGCAGAGCATGGATCACTTCTGCTCAGGCAGCTTGAGAGGATGAGGGCAGCCGAGGAGCTCACTGATGTGGTCCTGCTGGCAGAGGGGATTCCCTTTGCTTGCCACAAGGTGGTGCTGTCGGCATTCAGCCCTTACTTCCAGGTGAAGTCACTGTATACAGTTACTGAGAGTGAATGTGCTGATAAAGGAAAAATCTGATTTGTTTTGCAGAACTGATACGAATAAATCTGTTGAGGATGCTATGAGGCATTCATTGTTAATCACTGTGTCCAGGCCATGTTTACATGTGGTCTGAAGGAGACCCGGGAAGGAGAGGTATTTCTTAGAGACACTCCTGCCCAGAGCCTGGAGCTGCTACTGGACTACATGTACCGAGCTGAACTCCGCTTTTCGGACGACAACATCCAGGGAGTGGCTGCAGCTGCCTTCCTGCTCCATGTGGATGGAGCCTTCAGGTGGGAGAGGAGAACTGGAAATAGGTCTATATTCAAATAAACGTATATCAATTAGCCCAATGTGTGTATATGGAACTTCAGGAGCATCCAGATACCTTTCTATATGTGGTATATGGCAAACAGGATAGAAAGTAAGTTTGAGACGTATTTTAGTTCCCATAGCCACCTTGTTATCGCTGCAGGTTGTGTCAGAACCACATGGAGGCCTGCATGGACCCTTCCAACTGTGTTGGCCTGTACCACTGGGCCAGAGACCTGGGGGCCGCCGGTCTGGCCAACTGCGCCTTAAGATACCTCTGCCAACACTTTGCACAGGTAAGGCATTCATTATTAGTTCATCCAAATATTCTCTCAATTAGAGAACATGTCAAAACTGTTACTTAGGGTAAGAAATGATGTGGTCAAATGTAGATGTATGTGCAATGTCTATTCAGGCCTTGTGGAGCCACCTGCTTAACTGTATCAACATTGTTCTTCTTTATTCAGTATTTGCCATTGATAACTCCCCCTTCATTATCCTCTTGCCTCAGGTTTGTGAAGAGGAAGAACTGCTGGAGCTGGATGCTCAAAGTCTTGGGGACCTGCTGGGCTCAGATGACCTCAACATATCGCAGGAGGAGGTTGTGCTGGAGCTGGTGCTGCGTTGGGTGGAGAGGCGAAGAGGAGACTTGCAGAGTGAAGCCCAGGCTGTGGAGTTAATGAGGCGTGTCCGGCTAGAACTTGTTGACCCTAGATTCCTCCGTAAAACTAGGAGACGAAACCCGGTGAGAGAAGAAAGGGAGGAAAGGGGAGAGACAGCAATAAAAGTCAAGATTCCTTATCAACATTTATCAAAAGATTAGTAGATTGTCAGACTACCATGCCTGTATATACAATGTTCCAGGAGTTGCTGAGGGATGCTGAGTGCTTTGGGATGATTGACGCTGCTCTCCAGACCCCTGGTCTCTGTGAGGCGTCCGCTGCACCTCGGCCAGCCCTTCGTTACGGCATGGAGACCACCGACCTGCTGCTCTGCTTGGGTGGGGTGGATAAGGAGGGAGTGCCTGCCCGCCGTGGAGGACTTGCTGACCTCAGTTTTTGCTTTGACCCGCATGGCAGAAAAACGTATTTTATCCCCTCTCCACTGAGGGTCTGTGGGGGTATGGGGCAGATCACAGCTGGGGCAGTGACACGAGACAACAATATAGTGGTAGCTATAGAGGGAGAAGACCAACACAGAAGCAAGAGGGTAGATATCTACAGGTGTGTGTGTTCACATAAGAATACAAATCATTTTTAAGGCCACTGCTTTCCACATCTAAAATGCCTTTTTATTTGCCAGGTACGATCAATCAGAGAAGAACAGCTGGGTGAAGCTGTGCTCCACAGCACACAGGGACATGTATGCTTTAGGGCTTCTAGGTGATGCCCTGTATATGATGGGAGGTCAGATGAAAGTTCATAATCACTACATAATCACAGACAATGTTTCTAGATGGTCGCTGAAGAGAGGAGGCAGCTGGATCAGCTTTTCCCCTCTGCCTCTTCCCTTAGCCTGCCACTGCACCGTCAGCCTGAAGGAGCGTCTCTATGTGCTGGGGGGCTGGACACCACAGGTACACAGAAATGTTAAAATAAACGTCACAAAGCTGTAGATAGGTACAATGATGTCACCTTGAGCAAGACACTGGTCTATTATCAGGTTCAGGCTAGCCTGATGACAACCAAAAACAGACGTTCCCCACCAATAGGGCTACATTTTTCAAAGGCCCTGAAAAATAATTTTATGTGGACAGCCCTGTCAATCAAATGTGATCGATCCACAATCAGCACAAACCTTAAGTAGATTGACTGACCTTTTAGGTGTTGAACTTCTTAAATATTAGCCATTGCTGTTTTTAGTGAACTTTAACTTTGGTTGGTGTACGCTTAGTGCTACGTATTTAATGTTTTAGAGAAACACTTGTTAAGGGGAAAATCAAATGTAGTTTACAGGTTTACATTTGAAAGACTCTGTTGTCCTCTAGCTGGGCAGGACTGGGATAATAATTCAGGCTGAGAACCTTACATCAGCCCAGGCCATGTTCACAGACCACTACTGGAGCTGTTTGTTGGCATGCCCTCTCTTTTTATCGTCTAGCAGTCAGATGACGAAAGAATAGGTGTAACATTCAACTTCTCTGTTTCCCCTGGTTCTCATTTCTCCCCTCAATGTGTTCTTCCTCCCTCTGTCCAACTCTTGTCTCCTCCATCAGCATCAGCCAGGTGATGAGCCTGACAAGCTGAGTAACCGTGTCTTTCGGTTTGACCCCGGCAAAGACAGGTGGACTGAGTGTGCCAGGATGAAGTACTCCAGGTACCGCTGCGGGACGGCTGTCCTCAACGGAGAAATGTACATACTAGGTCAGACAAGAAAGACTGCAAGTTCATTTCTAAGTATTTCTTCTCTATGATATTGTAGCCAGGTGATGTGTTTGTGTGATTTTCAGGTGGTATAGGATGTGATGGAGAAGACTGTGGACAGTTACGACACTGTCTTAGCTCTGTAGAGATCTATAACCCAGACACAGACACCTGGAGGGCAGGACCAACCCTGCCCACGTCTTTACTCAGCCTTCAAACTAACGCTTCCAATGGTGGAGCAGTGCATGGCAAGCTTTACCTCTGTGGATACTACAAGGGTGCTGGTGAGTAAGTGAATGCCTGACAATATCTTTTCATGCAACTTCTTTTGCATGATCTCTTAGAGACGTAAACTTCATGGTGAAATGGCCTTTGCACACAAACTATAGGAACACTTTGGGTCTGGGAATGCCAGCCAACTGATTAGATTAGAATAAATTAGATTTTGGTCAGCTGTCATTTACATACTTTCTCTAACTACTGCAGGCCGTCATGAGATCATCACCAAGGAGATTTTGAAAATGGACCCTGCAGACAATGTGTGGACTGTAGTGGAAAGACGAGCAGCCTTGCATGACAGCTATGACGTCTGTCTGGTGGCTAACCTCAATCCTCGAGACCTCTTCACACCATAATTTATCTCCTCCTGACTCTGAGCAACAATGCTTGGAGCAAGGATGTATGGGAAATGAGCTTCTGTCCTCTTAGCCTAATTCAGCTGTATTGAAACCTGGCTGGGAATTCCTAAGTATCAACCGCAGAGTTAATGTAAAATCTGGATGTTGTTCTATAACTTCCCAACAGACAATAGTGGTGGTGTTTTTTGTTGCAACCCTATAATAACTTTTTGCATGGTTGTTGTATAAGGTTGTTTATTGAGTAGTAAAAACGACACCAGTTAAGCAGTCAGCTATCTTTTCAGCTTGACACGTTTAAATGTGATATAGAGGCTAGTCATAACGTTGAGTTGAGTTAAATAAAACAAATAAATGAAATCCTGACGTTTTACTAAACACAGTTACTCTTTCTCTCCATATTCAAAGTATCTGCTTCATCCCAAATTTCGTCAACGTTTTCTCAGGAATTTATTTTTCTGAGGTCACCACATGGCAAAACATTAACAAACATGTCTGACTGAAGTGGTGGATTTAGGGTGAGTTTCTGACCCGCAATACATTCCATACATGCCTTCATCCCTCCTGCTGCCGATGAGCCCTCGGAAGATCCAAAATTATCCCAAAGGAGTGTGACGCGCCGGGATGTTGCTATGAGAGCTACTTTACGAACGAGCAGGCTCCACCCATCGCTCTTGTTGCTGTGTTTCTGAGGGGAGGGTCGAAGAGGAAAACACAACTGCTGCCCAATGGATCGGATGGGTTTCATATGCATCTTTTTAAAGCCAATAGACTACTTTGTGGATCTGTTAACGCTCTTTATCAACAACTGCTTAGTCACTAGAGCTGCTTTCGTTTTGTGCTCCAAGTGCTCGGATACAGTTCCAGTGAGGGCTGCTCCTCCGGACAGGTGCGCACGGGTGCGCAGAGAGGATGGGCAGGAGTGAGGCTGACAGCAGAGGCGCAATGAACACCAGCGACTGCTCCGAGCTCGGTTGCCCGCGGGACGTGACATGCAGCGGCATCCGTGCGGGTGAGAAGTCCGCGGCGCTGGGAAGCCACCGTGCCTGCAGCGCGGACAAGAGGCAGAGAGACCCAGACATGGAGGGTGCAGCGAGCCCGGCTCCAAATGTCACAGAGCCGACTGAAGTAAAGAAACACCAGCACAAACACAACTTGAAACACCGCTACGAGGTGATGGAGACTTTGGGGAAGGGCACCTACGGCAAAGTGAAGAAGGCAGTGGAGAGAGCAAGCCTGAAAACGGTGAGTTTACATTACTTTAGGCACAGCTATGTGAAGGAGGTTCATTTTATAATCTTAAATAGTTTACATGCAGTATGAAGTATTATTTATGATTATGAATGTGATTGGTCAAAGCCTAGGCTTATATCTGTTTCATACCAAGAGAAACTAAAAGCTTATTGAGATGATGTGGTATGTTGCTCATGCTTTTGTCTTCCTGGGAGGTACTCAGGTGTGTGTGTGTGTGTGTGTGTGTGTGTGTGTGTGTGTGTGTGTGTGTGTGTGTGTGTGTGTGTGTGTGTGTGTGTGTGTGACAAGGGGAAAATGCTGAATCCTTTGAGCCAGTAGCCAGCACATACCAAAGATTCTTTGAAACAAAATGGACATTATTTTTAGAAACGAGACCAGGGGGCCGTAGTTTGAGGAAGCAGAGGAAGACAGTTTGAGAGCAAGACTGAGTAAGAAGAGGAGGAGGAGAAGGAGGAGGAGGAGGAGAAGAAGGAGGGGGTTGGAGATCACAGTAAAGAGCTGGCCTGAGATTGTCCCTGCATGTCTGAGTTGTTTTTGCTGCAGGAGGGGACTAATGGTGAAATGGAGAGGAAGGAAAGGAAAGGATGATAAATACTTTCTTGGATATTTAGTGCACTGTATGTCCCTTACATTGACATTAGCTAGAATAAAAAAATGTTAGAATAAAACAGAATGATGCTTATAAGATGCTTAAGCAGATATTTGCAACTTGTGAAAAGAAGTATTGTGATTTGCTGTGAAGGCACAGGGTGCCAAACATAATGTATTAGATCATATTAATAACCAGATTAAAGGAAATGTATTGTTTATATTAAGTCTTATATGGCTGTGCAGAACATCATGCATCTCTCATTACAACATCTACAGTGTGTTCCTCTTGTTTAAACATTATCAAATAGTGCAAAACCTTATCCGAGAACATTTTCATGACTCACACACATGGCTTCTCTACATGGATCCTATTACAGTTTGGCATTTTCAGCCGATATCACACGTGCAGCACATTATTTGGATGAACAATGAGGTATTGTGAGTTAGATACTTTGTAGGTCATACTTAGACATGACGCATACACAGCACATTTGCATGAACAATGGTGAGATCATATACTCACATACCCACACTTCCTCTGCGCACACGTGCCCCTTTAAGAATGATCTTAGCTCCCTGAGGTCTGAACAATGCCCAGTGTATGCTTCTCTTCTCTGTGCTCTGCTGATCAGGCCTTAATTCCCAGTCTGGGGGGTAAGTCAATGCTCAAACAGACATTAAAATACTTGCTTTTTGCCCTTAGTTAACATACTTTGAAATACTTTATCCATTCCATTCACGTCTCCTATTTTCAGTCCAAAGTGTGAAGAAAATCCTAATATTTTAGCATTTGTTTAAAGAAAAGATTCCAATGCATTAAATATTCTTGTTGGATCGCGTCACATCAGTTAGAGAAGGTCAGGTCAGTCCCGAGTGTTCCCTGGAGTGAGTTTGTGCTGTGTTGCATAACCAGTGTGGTTGATGGAGCATGTGAATTGTGTCTTCCAATGTCTTGTAGATGTTTTTCCGGCAGCTGAGAATGTTGCGACCCAGGGTGGAGATCTGCTCTCCTATTGGGACATTGTAAGGGTTGACAGAATAATACAGGAGTTTAATGAGGGCTTTGCTAGGATTTCAACCTCACAAATTAATCCTGCAGTCTCATCTTCACATTATATCAAAACTCTCACTCTTTCTGTTGTATGTTTTTCAAGCTTATAGTATTTTCAAATGGGAGAACATGATCCTGTTTACTTTACTGCCTCTGTTCTGTCCTTGTTTGGTGCCATTTTATACTCTATCCAGATTGTGTGTGTTATGTTGTGTTCAGTGGTTGGGGGTTACATTGGGGTACAATGAGTGCCCACTGCCCAGGATTAAGGAAACAGAGTGTGAACAGGACAGCTGTCAACGTTCTGCGTCTGAGCATGCTCAGATCACAGGAGACCTACTCTTACACATCAAGCCCTTAAAACCCACATAATCACCTCTAATACCCACAGATCTTAGTCTTCTGTGTGTGTGTGTGAGTATATAACATGTCTTTGTTTCCATGCATGTGCAAGTTATATATTGAACTGTCCATCTATCAGTGCTTGTTCACAGTTTTAATAATTCAAATTGTTGTGAGGAGGTTAGGGGGGAAATTAGTTAACCGGGTCGAGGAAAAAAAAAAGAGATTGACGAGGAATCTATATTTGATGGAAAAAGCTTTTGAAAACAATAAACCAACAAATGGTTGTACAAAGTATTAGCAATCCCCTAACAGCTGTTTTCCTGCTGTGGAAGATTGCTCTAGTGCTCTGTTGTCAACCTGCAGCAATCCAGATAAATGTGTTTTGAATACAATAATTCGAAATACATGCACAGACTCTCAGACAGTGTATCTCCTTTCTCAGGTGGCGATTAAGTCAATACGCAAGGAGCGTATCACAGATGATCTGGACAGAATTCACATCCAGAGAGAGATTGAGATCACCTCCTCGCTCAGGCACGCCAACATTATACGCTTCCATGAGGGTAATTCTGCAAACACAAAAGGACTGTACACTCACATCCAAACCTAATGGGGCAGGTGCTGAAAATGACCAGAGAGTTAAAAACTAATAAACATATATCTCGCATTGTGAAAGTTTCTTCTTTGGTTTTCATTAGTCTGCAAACACAACACAAACACAGAGGAGGTGTAACACATTGTGAGTCTGGATCTTTGCATTGGATTAATTTACAATAAAAATATCACCATATCATTAAGAAGTCTCCATTATAGTATCCATTGTTAGATTGGATCCTGTTTAATTCTGGTTCATATTTAGATGAAAACAAATGCAGAAACGACACATTTTCTTTTAGTATAGTGATGGGTTGAGGCATTCCCTGATGTTCATGTTCACACGTCTGCATAATTCTGACCTGTAAATGTTTCATGTGTCCTGCGCAGTGTTTGAGAGCCGGGATAAGATTGTGATAGTGATGGAGTTCGCCAGCAGGGGAGAGCTGTACGATTACATTCAGGAGAGAAGGAGACTGCCTGAAACAGAAGCCAGAGGCATCTTCAGACAAATCACATCTGCTGTCCACTACTGCCACAAGGTTTGCACACTCACTTTTGGCAAATACACCTCTGGAATTCAGTATACATTTAGGAACCACATGTGGGCATGTGCTGAATTGCATGTTGCAAGCAAACACAGAACAGCTAAATCCACAAAATCTTATCTTATCTTAAAGACTGCATACAAACTTGACTTGCGTTTTCAGATTGCCGAGTAAAGAGCGCATTAAGCCATGATTGTTTTAAATAGTCACACACTGCCACATTGACTGTTCTCCCTCCAAAATAATGTAAGCCCTGGAAAAGGAACACATTTTTATTTTTTTAGTGCGTGTGTGCAGGAGGACATACATGAATCCTATTAATACAGTAGTGCACTGCAGTCAATGTGAGGATATGTGTCTCGCAGTGAGCTGATTTCAGTTAAAAAAAAAAAAAAGTGTTTTCATATCATCTTATTTTGGAAGTTTGGCTTCTTCATGAGTCCCACATTAAACTCAGAGATTATTACTCAGCTCCTGTGGCTTTGTAGCAGACAGGCAGCTGGATATCTAGCTCCTCATGCACTCAAACATTGTCCCAAAATAGACATGAGTGCTCCACCACGAATGAATTATTGAAGGTGCCTCTGAGGTATGCAGGGCACATGAGGCTTGAATGAAAATACTTCAGTATTGTTTTTGTTATTCTCTAAATTGATTCATAGTCATTTAAAAATAGCAAGAATAATAACCTGGTTAACCACATATATTTATTTCTTCTACTTTTCCTCCTCTGCATTGAATACACACACGTGTTTTTTTATGATGTACGTAGTGTGGACAAACCATTGTCTAATGCCAAGGGTAATTTCCTTTAATTCTCTGGAGAGGCTGCCATTAACAAAAGAAAGTAGGCTTTCCTGGCACATAAGCAACGTTTACATTTTCCCTGCGTCACGCTGCTTCCTGGGTGGCCACAGTTCAGCATTGTCTCTTTATATGATTTAACACCCATTCAATGTCAGGGAAAAAAGGTTTTCCTCCCATCAATCCATAGTGTGGTTTCTCTCCATACGCCACAACTGCATATACTGTGGCATCATGTTGGCTGGCAGGTGCTTAATGCCATCATGGGATCAAATCGCATCTCATCAGATGAATTAACTCAAACAAAAGAATTCCTCATGGTTGTTGATGAGCTTTTCTGAAGACACACAACCCTGCAACACAAGGCCTGAGTGGAATGTTAATGGTTATAAAAGGACCTTTTCAGCACATGCTGGCTTTATGTTATAAACTTTAGATGCTTCAGTCTTAATGTCTGCATGCAATGAGAAAACATCTGACATTAAACGGGGGACAGTGCAGGCTCTCATTATGTTCCTGCTCTCTTCAGAACGGCGTTGTGCATCGAGACCTCAAGCTGGAGAACATCCTTTTGGATCAAGATTTTAACGTAAAGGTAAGAATTTTTATTTTTGTATTTATTCGTTTATTTAACAGGGACAGTGCACATTAATTAACATTGCTGTAAATGTGCCAGAGTTAGTCAAGAGGCTATTTTTCATCACACATTTCATTTTAAACAAGTAAATACAATCAATTTAAAACATGCAACATACATTACTGGAAAACTTAAATAAAAATGTTTTAAAAGACAGAACAATAAAACAAAACAAATAAAACAAAAGAAAAGAACATGTTAAAACACAGGCAGTGGGTTTTAAGGAGCAGAAGAGTGTGTCAGTGTTGGCAGAGCTGATTCCTCACTAACCATGTTTTGAGTTTTGACTTAAATAAACTGAATGTAGTCTGGTCTCTGATTGTAGATGGGATTGAGTTCCATTGCTGAGCAGCTTTAACAGAAAATGAAGACTGACTGAAATAACTTTTTCTGAGTGGAGTTATGCAATCTCCTCTCGCTGCACCTCTCGTTATCCTAGTTGCAGTTGTGCGTATGCTAATAAACTGTCTAAGAGGAGATGAGGTAAGGCATACTGAATTTGACAACACACTGAGCCTTTCCACACTTTCCAACAACATGATGAATGTGTGTCTTGTGTTATAATAATAGACCATCCAAATAGCCACAGTTGTTTTTGTTTTGAAGCACAAAGGCACATCTTCATAAGACACTGGCATTTACATCAGAAAGCTTTCCACTGCTGCTGTTTTTAGCATCCTGGAAGGAAGCTTTAACTAAAATGCAACACAGTGCACTTTCAGAGCATATAGTATTGGAGCCCACTCAACCCACAGTCATTTGTATGTGTTGTTAAGGTATGCACACTTAACCAGCACAAACATACTGCCAGGTCTTATAAAAGAACACAGGGGTATTTTTTGCCTTATTTGGGTATCCCTCTCCTTATATGGGAGCTGAGCACGGCCAAAGGGGAATGCTGGGAATCCAGTGGCAATTGAGCCAATCGAAGGGTTTTAATATAAGTATGCTCTGTCTGTCCATCAAAAGAAAACACTATGTGCAGACTTCTCAGCAGCTCTTCGTTCGTCACAAACCTCATGTTCACCACATCGGCCTCTCACAGCATCCGTTGCAGGAAATGACACAGCCTCTGTGCGATGCATAGTCAGAAGTGATAGGGAAAATGTTGCTCTATACTAATAATAGATTGCCCTTAAGTGGTTGAATTGAACTATCTACACTTCTTAGTAGCAGAAGTCTGCATCCAATGATAGATCCAAAGCACCGTAGAAAATGACCAGCGACCTGTTTCAGTCCAGCATGTGTATGAGAGATGGTGGCTTCTCACAACATCAATTTAATTCCCAGACATATGTACAGGAGTCATGTGTATGTCTAGTAAATAAAATACATCTTACACAATCATTGGACACTGAGGAATGTTTCCCGCAAAGCACTGTAATAAGTTCTCTGGTGGATGTAAACATGAGTTATACTGCAGAATGCATACACACACAGACACACACAAGGTAGTACAGCTTTATAAACTACACAACTCACATGCTCAGACTACACCCCATTATTGTCCCTGTATAATATCAACTGTGAGCTGGCTTGTATACACAGTGTACTCCGTCACCTGTGAGGTCTCTGTTTCGCGGAAATAAAGCTGACGGGCTGAGTATTTTAACACCACAGGGGCTGATAGTGACTGGGTGCTCATGGTATTAATCTCTTCAGATAGAGAGGAGCCTCGGTATGTCTGCATATGGCTCTTGCGGCCTCGAGTGAGTGATTGTTCCGTTACGTGAGTGTAAGCAGCCTGATGTTTTTGGCACTCTCCTCTTCCCTCACTCACACTTACACTGGCAAAAGCTCAGCCTTACTAATTTTAGCTCTTTTAAAAGGAATTGTTTTTTAGTGACTGTGCTTTTGGTTAAGGGTTTTGCAATGCACACTCACTCACAAGGAATCTGGATTAAATGAGAAGCATGTGTGTGTTGAGGTGAATGAACTAATGCATTTATAAAGGGTTTAGTGTAAACTGATTGGTCCAGTATGTCATAAGGTAATGTGTTTTCAGCTGATTTAGTTATATCATCTGTTTATTGTTTATTTCACACAAACACAGATATGATTGACTGGATTTTTTAAATACTTTTTTGAATGACAACTTACTTGTTTTGAGATATGAGTTGTATTATTTAAAATGTTTCAAGGTTAGGCTTCATATGTATTAGTATTACAATTGTTAAGGTTTCTGGCATCATTCAAGATCTGCCTTCTATTAAGCAATAGATCAATATTCATGAAAACGATGTATTTCAATTTAGTGGCTAGGTGGCTTCTTTACGTGTGTAATATTAAGTATTGTATATGTTAAAATAATTATAATATCTAATAATAGTTATGTCCTAAATAGTCTGCTGTAACTTGACTTGTTTATTTTTTGTTATTTGTCTTATTACAACGTAAAGTTATTAAGTAATATTTTTACTCACGCCCAAAATAATACTTGACTCTTAAGACGTATTTTATGTTTTCTCTCTCTCTCTCTGACTCTGCAGCTGGCTGACTTTGGCCTTTCCAATCACTTCCAGAGGGGCACTCTGCTGCAGACCTACTGTGGAAGTCCACTTTATGCTGCCCCGGAGATAGTGAACGGACTGCCCTACCAGGGGCCAGAGGTTGGTCAACACACACAGCCCTCACTGGTTTCCTCAGACAAAATATAACCAAAACAGTAAAGCTGTGGTCTGTTAAATCCAAACAATGAACTGAAAGATAGTAAGGCTTTCTGTAGAGCTGGGGGAACCCACAGTCGGTGAAAACACACTTTTTGTGTTAACCATTGTTATTGATCCATTTCTAATAAACAAATAGTTTTTAGTGCAGCTTTCGAATGCTGAGTTTGAACCACATAAAAAGATGCCAAATGTCAAATATAGTTCAGTTTAGTCACATGAATGTAGATCCTTTGATTGTGCTTTCTATCATGCACCATCTCATTGTGTTAAATTATAGCGTTATAGAGTTTTCTGAGGTGGCAAGGCATGTACTTCATTATGTTTTGATATGTTAGGTGGACTGCTGGGCGCTGGGGGTGCTGCTTTATGCCCTGGTGTACAGCAGCATGCCATTCAATGGGGCTAGCCACTGCACACTTACAGACCAAATCAGCCAAGGTCGCTACAGCAGACCCAACCCCCCATCAGGTAACCCTTTACAATGGCCATTAACATTATATTTAAATGTCTACTCTGATATAATGGCTTTGTGTGTTGTTCTTACTAGAATCCTGTTAATGTACAATGTTGTTGTCAGTTTGGCTGCTATAAATAAATGTTGACGGTGTTCCCTCCAGACGCCTGCGCTCTTATCGACTGGTTGTTGACAGTGCGTGTGGATGAGAGGGCTACGATAGAGGACGTTGCCAACCACTGGTGGGTGAACTGGGGTTTTGAAGAGAGTGTGTGTGACTGCCCTTCATCCCCACACCAAGAATGCCCCTCCCCCCTACTGGCACGCTACATCGACTGGCAGAACCGTGTCGCCCTTACCAGCAACATGAGCCTATCCTCAGACTCTTCCTGTCCACCTCAACTCTCACCTCATCCCTTTTACTTCAGCTTCCCTCTGACGAGTGATCGAGGAGGAGGAGGAGGAAGGTTATGCAGAAGAATGTCAAGCCTGAGGAAGTCGCGCAAGGAGAATACAATTCCCCAGACTGCACTTGGAGCTTGTGATGGTGTTAGCGAAACAGCTGCCTCCTCTGCTGCGATTTCCTCCACTCCCACCATTGAAAGAAAGAAGCCCAAAGGTATTCTAAAACCCCAAAGAAGTTTTGACTCAGTCTTTCACAGCCCTCCTAAAGAAATCTTCTCCTCCCAACCGTGTAGCACTGCTCCCCAGCCTTTTCGATCACATTCACTTCCCCGCACACATGCTGATGTCCTTTCCACCAGCCTGCCACCTCCCTCTACTTTCTGTCAGCCCTCAACCAAGATGCCCAAGAAGGGGATACTGAAGAACTTGTATGGGGGGGAATCAAGTTATAGCTCATCCTCACAAAGAAGGATCTCTGGAGCAGAAGTTAAAGATGGAGAAGGAGCAGGTGATTTCTGCTACCACAACCAGCACACTGGGCTCCCAGCGGCAGAAGACAGCCCCACCATGCGCACTGAAGCGGTAAGAAGAAGGAAGGGGATTCTGAAACGCAACGGCAAGTTCTCTCGCAGTCTGGATCTTCACGATGACCAGCACCCGGCATCCATGATATTCCCTGAAGCTCTCCAGCAGCTTCTCCAGGACACAGGGGGTGCCCAGGGTCGCCGTAGCCGGCCCTCAAGTGTGGTGAGCGAGGATAGCCTCTTCTCTTCCGATTCCTTTGACCTCCTAGACCTCAGCGCTCAATCACGTCGCAGGTTTTTCTCTCGTGCGACGCAGCAAAGCGCGTGCAGCTCTGAGGAGGACCTGGAGCAGATGAGGGTTGAGTCACACAGAGTTAGTGGAGAAGGCTGCTAACATAAGCCCAAGAAATAAGGCAGACACAAGTGTGCTGAAAACAGGGTTCAGTTCACTTTTCTGTGCCATTCAGTGTCTGCCATCTTGCAAAGACCCTGGAGATGTTGCTTATCACGAACAAGAATTTTGTATTAATGATGAATGGAACTATCAATGACATTTGAATTGTAATTTGAATGCAAGGCAATGCAGAAGGTGATTAGACACAAAGTGACACCTAAATGGGATCACATGTCTGAGTAAATGTGGCCGAATGGACGGTTCAATCTACTCATTCTGAACTCATCTGCAATAAATCCATTTTATAGATTTAACAGGAGATTTCTCTTCTGATAAGCCTTGAACAATCTGAGTCTGGATCTGTAAAGCACTGCATGTTTTCTGAACTGATGAAAAGTAAAACAGAGGGTATGTGCATCTGTGAATCAGTATGTCAACAATGACGATTAACCAACAAACTGTAAAGCAATTTTCCATCCAACTTCTTTTATGGCCATTTTACGCATTAAAACACCCTGAGAGGTTATGTTGAGAAGTAATATAATACACTTGAAATGTTTAGCTGAGCTGGTAAAGTTGGTGTATCAACAAAAGCAAAATGCAACAAATTGTAAGGATAACGGCATTAGTGAATAATGTTAGACGGAAACAACAGATCTGTGTGGAAACTTTGAATGTTCTTCATACAAAAAAATATACAAACATAAATGCCAGATTGAAAATATTGTTTTCCAAAGTTTAAGGTTTGATAAGCACTCTAATAATTATAATTTTAAAATAAAAAAAGGCAGTGAATGGGAATGCACATTGACTTGCACTTTGGGAATGAAGTTTGGCCACATTTGAAACCTGTATATAAAGGTGGTTTATTATTAGGATACATTCTACTATTTGGACTGACACTTCATGGCAACACCTTCCTTTACAATATTTTATCATTGCTTAACAGAAAGAAAGTTATTATGAAGTGTTAATACATGTGCAGTATTTGAAAACCATTTTAGCTTCTATAGAGACATGTGTTTTAAATGTCTTTTATTAGATTATTATTATTATCTATTTCTACACCAGCCTCCACAATTGCCCACAGTGATGCTATAAAAAAAAGATTATGTTTACATTTACCTTTTGTGTGTCGTCACACATTAATTAAATGTGTATTCACTCCCTATATTCCCTAAGTAAGGGGAGTTAAAGTAAAGCGTTGACTATTTGATGACTATATTTGTACACAGTATTGTAATATTTTTGCTCCTTTGCACAAACACACAGTGTGAATACAAGATGGATTCCATTTATTTTTCTATGACACCCCCAGTGCTGCTGCGGACATTTAAAAATAAATAAATGGGTATGCAGTAGACGTATGCAATTTTAAGACTGTAATTTTCTAAAAGGATTGTTAATTTTGTTCAAGCATTTCATACTTTTTGCATATGTGGGGTCAAATAAATGATGTGAACCTAAAGACTTTCCTGTTGTTTTTCTGGTGGGAGAAAAAGAAAAGTAGCAGGAGATAAAAGATTAAATGTGCACATAAAACAACTTGGTTGAGATAAATATTGGGATACACAAATGTTGTGCCTGTCTTTAGAGAAATCACCCTTTTATTCCAAATGGTTAAAGCATTTTCTCCTTTTGGCCCTGAGCACGACACAACACGGAGAAATAAAAAGACATTGTTTATGAAAGACCAAGAGCTACCCATTTAATGAAATTCCATATTCCTTTGTCTCCATAAACACAGAGCTCAATCTACTTCACTGTTTTCCTTATGATTCAACTTCTTAAACAAAATGCATTTAAAGAAGAAAACACCTAGAAGTCAAATAAGGCTCAAGTACATAAATTACAGAGTGGTTTAAGAATAAATGTTTTCGAGTAAGTAAGCAAGGTTTACCTTTTATCAAATCATTATGTAATAAAGGCATTAATACATCAACTGTGCATAACTTTATATTATATAAACATTTGAAGTGAGGTATTGAGCATGATGCATGCATGCTTTTATATTTGCTTGCTTTGCTGGGTTTCACAAAAGGATTTTCTAGACAAGAAACACATGTTTTACAGACGTCTCCTCTAATGAAGAGAACACATCATCGCAGGAAGGTAAAAACCCATAACTCTAGGTTTTACATGCTATGTTACGTATTTAAGATTAACATTTTTCTCCAATGACAACATTCCTCCGCCTCTTAGGCACATGAGAAATAGTCAAAAATCCATACATGCCTTACACGCTGAAAAGCTGCCCTTTTGGACGTGAATGTATTCACAGTGTTAAGATGAAACAAGCCAAGCTCACCAGCAGGTCTTGTTTAAATGTGGAGGAGTCTGGTATGGCTGAGATATACATAGGGCTTTACCCACTTGCATGGTTTTAACTCATCTAAGTGTCCTTCGTGTTGTGGCCATAAGTCTTGAGCAGAGAGGTCCAATGGTTTCACCTCCAATCAGTCGTTATCTCCTGTCAGTCACACAGCGACCATCCTGTTATATAACAGCTGCCATCTATTTGTTTAGATAAGATCTAGATTAAATATATATTAGTTCCCTACAAAGGAAATAGTATTTTTTTAGATTAACAACTACAACTATTTTGTGCTCATAATGGTCATATTTAATCATTTTGGAGTTTTATTTATACTCATGGCTCAGAGTGGGAGCCAAACTACAGAGGAAATTATATTCAAGTAAAACTATGACGACACCCAGTACTAGACCACACTAGTAATAGCTTCTAGCTAATTAACATGAGGGTGTACATTACTTATAGTGCTTTAGGGAGGCTGTGGCTCAGTGGGTAGTGTGCTGGACCTCGAATCAGGGGGTAGCAGGTTCGTGTCCCACTGCAGTCAGCATGTCGTTGTGTCTCGAATGTATGTAAGTCGCTTGTAAGTGACATGTAATGTAAATGGACAGTAGGCCTATTAAGCAGAGTTAATATATAAACAAGTAAACATAGAGTTAATCAATCAATTTTGAGAATAATAATGTACTTTGTATTAGCCTTGTTATCACCTGTGTTCTCCATTTCACAATAAAAGTCCTTGACAATAGGGTGTATGACTGACAACCACTCAGCAATATATTTTACAGTAGCTTTCCCAGGGCAGATTTAACAGAGGCAAAATCAACAAACCATTGTAGTTCTCATTGCATCCACCAGATGCCCTCGAACTCTCCTTTCCCCTCACCTGACTGCCCCACCCATCTCTCCACCTGTGCTGTCACACACACACACACACACACACACACACACACACACACACACACACGCTGCCCCATGAACCTTTTAGCTCTGGATATGGGTACTCCTAACCCCTGTCCCCTCACACTCAGACAGTGGAAAATAAATTCAGTTATATCATCTTGATGACTACAGTGTAACAAAGTGATATCTGCACAGAGCCTATTCAAACCTCCATCGATGACCTCCAAACCAGAAAATATTTGCTAATAATACAAATTAGGAGCTGATTTATTTTGTATTGATCATGATCCCATTGTGTACATTGTATACGTGAAGGAGAATGTCACACATGATGCCTAGAGATAGAATTATCTTTCTCTGAAACTTTTAGACAAATGTATTGTCACATCTTAGACAAAACCCAACAGCATGCAAGTACCAATTGTAATATGTTTAACCTTCTTTGTTGGGATACAAAACATTCTGAGAAAAAAGGTGATTGTGTTTAGAAAAAAAATGTAGACTTGTAGTTCTAATCTGATCACTAAATCAAACAGACCTCTAAATAATTGAGCAACAGTGTCATCTTGTGGCCTTTTGGTGTAGTTGGCCAAAAGCACCAATGCACAGATTCAAGATTCAAGGGTTTTATTACCATGTGCACAGTACAGTGTAGTTCTGCAATGAACATCTTAGGTCCTGAACCCCTCCAACAATCCAATCCAACTTTATTTATATAGCACTGTAAAACCTTCAGACCAAAGTGCTGTACAGAGAGATAAGCTCACAAAACATAAAATAAATACATTTAAAATAAAAGATAAAAACACAAAACAAACCAGAATAAACGTAATAATTAATACAATGCAACATATTATATAAAAGGAGCATGAGACAAATAAGAAAATACAAATAGGTGCAAAATGAAACAGAATAGGAATAAAATAGAATGTAATGGTGCAGGTTATGTTGTTGAGACCAGTCTACAAGTAGTGGCAGATGAGGTGAACATGTCGGAAAAATAAGATAAATACAATAAGCTAAATTGATGCAGAGAATGTTGAAAGTGACCAAAACCGTTTTAAAAAGCAACAAAAAACAGTGTGTGAACGGTTATTATCATCAATATAACATAAATAGAGATACTATATTAACAATTTGGAGGAAAGGTATCAGAATCTGTAAATAAGTGTTTCCTACATTGTTACAGTTGTATTAGTTTAATAAAGCTCAATTTGACTGTTTAAACATTATCGCAAAACTCTACGGACAGAAGGCATTATTAAATCCCTATCACCTCTATATATGTTATTAAAAAACCAGTTGAGTTTGATATTGAATCGTATGGGTCATCTAGCAGGCGCCTTGAATCCACACTACTGTGAACAGTGGGGAAATAAACACTTTGGACATTTATTAATCCCTAGTTGATTTTTAAGTCATCAATAACATGTGTTGGTCAAATTGTCAAAAGAATTCTTCGGAAAATGTCCTTTTATTTGGATGCCAATTATTTGCTAGGCAAAACATTTTCCTCACTCCTTAGTCCTCAACACACCAAAGACACATACAGCAGGAAAGAGGAAGAATTGTTGTATCATCAGGCAGACCATCCTATCGCTGCACTCCTTTTGCACGCATAGGATGGTAAGCTGGAAGCAATTTGAACTTATGCATATTTGGACCGTGCCTGGAATCAATAGCAACGACACACACAGGTCATTGTTTAAAGTCAAGGGTCGCAGCAAAAAAGAGGCAATGTGATGTACTGTTGGCTTGCTTGTTTG